CCACATTCATGTTCTGATTGGATGATTAAATTTATTAAATTAAATTTCATAAGAGACTAATTTCATAAAATATGTAAGTCTTGAAGATTAAATATGTAATTATACTAATTTATTAACTTATGCATCAATATTTTCGTTAAATATTGATATGAGATGACTAGATTGATAACATTTAAATAATTAACTGATAAAATTAATAGATCGATAATCAAAATCAAAAATAAAATAACCATATGTTTATAATTTCATACATTTTTTCCTATAACTACAATAAAATCAAAACTGGTTTTCATATATTGTTCTATCATATTAATGTAGATAATTCACTCCACCTTTAACACACATTAACAAAATACATTATAATCGAAGCACTTTACATAATATATTACTAATTTATAATAATAATAAAAATAAAATATTTATTATTAAACAAAATATCAACGTGGCAGCTGAGCTGGCGAAAGGCACGTCCCCGGGGATGCGCCTTCCACACGTGGCATCCAACTTAGCGAAAACACGGGTAAAGCGCGTCTCCGGAGACGCGTCTTTCGCCAGTTCAACTAAAAGGGTGCTACTTCGAGAAATATATATCAAGCGATACTAAAATAATAAATATTTGGTAAATATATGTCAGTTTAATCAAATCGCCCATTTCGACTACATGGAAGCACATCGATGTCAGTACGTTCACATAGTCATGTCATTGATGAAGAAGGACAAAATATATTGAAGTTTAATGGAATGGGATGGGGTTTCAATAAAAAAATGTGTAGGTTGTTAGTAGAATGTTGAAAAAGATTATTAAACTTATGCTGTATAATAATGAAAACAAAAGTAATAGAAGGGAAATTCAACCCATTTATTCGTTTCGCCTATGGAAACTATTTCTTGAGGATCACCATTGCCGAATTTGGTGATAGAGTTTGAGGGTCAATTTAAAATTTTAAAAAAAAATTAGAAGTTAAAATTGAAATTTTAAACTTTTTAGAAAGGGTTTAGTTTACAATTTTTCAAAAATTAGGGTATAACTAAAATTTTGGAAATTTTGATATGCTTAATGTGAATTTTTAAAATTTATGGGGGCTAAATTAATTTTTTTTAAGTTTTAAGGGTCTAAGTTATAATTTTTTAATTTTCCCGTTATTCTCTCTTTAATTCCGCCACTATGGACCACTATCTTCTAAATATAATTTAAATATTAGGTCAGTCTTTTAAGTATTTATAATTCTACCCCTTATCAAATTATTAATAAAACTTTATATTCGATCTATATTAGAATTATAAATAATAGATACTCTTGGACCTAAGAGATACCATCATGTGATTAATCTAGGGTTTCTCGTATTTTTACCCTTTGATTAATGTTAATACATTCATGATCCCCCTCGATCCTAGGTTTCATATACATGCATGATCCCCCATGGGTTTCACGATACATGCATGCATGATTCCCATGGATCCTAGGTTTCACAATACATGCGTCATGCATGGTCCCCATGGACACATACATGATACATGATCTCCCTGGATACTAGGTTTCATAATACATGCCTGATTAGTGGCAGATGTGTGTACAACTTAGGGTGGATACCTGCCCACTCTGAAATATGAATATCTTTATGTTAGTTGTTTAATTTATTGAATGCGGCCACCCATAAATTTTGTGTCCACTCCATACGAATTTTATTTTATTATTAATACATATGTGCGCATCTTGAGAAATATTTATCTGCCACTGTTCATGATCCCATGGGTTTCACAATACATGCATGATGCATGATCCCCATGGATCCTAGGTTTCACAATACATGCATGATGCATGATTCCCATGGAAACGTGCATGATCCTCATGGATCCTAGGTTTCACAATGCATGTAGACCTTGTGATAGCACCATGCTGGAGGAGTAGAGAGCACTTCCAAGAATTCTAAGCAATGTAATAATTTATCTTTCAAATCCTCTGATATCAAGACATGGGAAATTCAACCCCAAAGTTGGTGAGATTACGAAAACATGGTTTAATTGTGAATTCTATCATTTTATTTTACAAAAATTTATAAATTAATCCATATGGTTTTTATTTGTTAAAATTTGATCATTATATTTAATAAAAACTGAATAGTCCAGTTGGGTCAAAATAATTGATTTGAACATTAACAGTGCAAAAAGAATATGGATTCTAACTAGTGATTACCAATTTCTGATAATTAAAGTTGAAAGACTACTTTTTTAATTTCATAAAATAGACGGGATAAAATTTAGAATTATACCATAAAATACATAAAACTATCCATTTAGACATGAACATATATTTAGGTATGCAGAAAAGCTGAGAGCCCAAGAAAAGTTTTGAAATATTATTGAGCTCTTTAAAACTTTTTAAAATTTTAATTTGGTCCCTCAAAAGCTTTAAAAAATTTCATTAAATTTCAACTTTTTTGAATATTTTTAATGAAGACGAATATTTCAAAATTCATCATCAAGTCTCAATTTTTTGAAAATTTTAGTTAGACGCCTAAAAGTTTTTGAAAATTTCAATTTAGACCCAATATTTTTAAAGTTTTTAAATAAATCCTCCAAAGTATATTTCCTTGTAGTTTGAGTTTCCCCCCCTCAAAATGTGATCCAATGATAGCGTACGTAATTACATTATATATATATATATTTCCATTAACTATTGTTTTTCCTTGTAGTTTGAGTTTTTTTGCTCACAAATTCACATGATTACTTGAGCTCTAAGGAACTTGAGATGGAGTGAAAGAACAGATGATAAATGTAAAAACTGAAATACGAAATGTATACTTTATATACACGATCAAGGATGGATTGAGGGAGCGGGTGGGGGGCAGTAGTCCCCTGAAAATTTAAAATTATTACATATTTTAGATTTTTTATGTATTTTCTATTGAAAATCAGTTTTCGACCCCTGAAATTTTAAAAATTAAAATTCGCCCCTAACATATAATATGCATCCGTCCCTGTACGATTGCTAACTTTTCCATCTATCTTCTAATCATACTACCAAACTTGGTAGCTAACTTGTAACTGCTTTCTATAATAAATAGGTGATTTCTTGAGCTTTAATGGACACCCTTTCGAGCATGGAGATCGAACAAGTTCTTCACATGAATGGAGGAGATGGCAAAACCAGTTATTCCAACAACTCATCGATTCAAGTTCGTTCCTCTTTTACTTCTCTTGATTATATGTTCTGTCCAATTTCAGACATTTCTTAGTTTTCATATGGTTTTTGCGGTGTTTTTTTCTCCTTGTAACAGAAACGGGGAATGTACGAGGCAAAACCGATGTTGGAAGACAGTATCAAGATGTTGTTCTGCGACAATAGCTTCCCTTGTTGCTTGAAGATTGTGGACTTGGGGTGTTCTTCGGGACCGAACACCTCTCGCTGTTAAAGAAATCGTGGACGTCGTCGACGAGACGTGCCGTTGCTTGAATCACAAGGCACCCATGTTTCAAGTTTTCCTTAATGATCTACCTGGTAATGATTTCAATGCCGTTTTCAGGTCACTTCCGGTTTCACTGCGAGGTTGATGGAGGAGAAAGGAAGCGATTTCGGGCCGTGTTTTATCGCCGCGGTGCCGGGAACTTTCTACGGGAGGCTCTTCCCGAACAATTTTCTTCATTTCGTTCACTCTTCGTATAGCCTTCATTGGCGATCTCAGGTTAGCATTTACCATAATTACTATCGGATATCAAATTAACAGACACTAAACACATGCCGCAGACGAATTCATGTGATTCGTCTCCGAATTTAAGACGGAACAATTAACAAAAGCTCGAACGTATGTACATGGTGATGAACAATCAGGTTCCTGAAACTCTCGTTAGTGAATCGGGAGCTGCATTGAACAAAGGGAACATTTGTATGGCCAAGACAAGTCCCCATACCGTGCATAAAGCTTACTTCGACGTTTTCAAGAGGGACTTCAAGCTGTTTCTCAAGTTGCGATTCGAAGAGATGGTTCCCGGCGGTCATATGGTCTTAACCATGGTCGGTTCCAAAATCCGAACTTCGTCTTCGAAGACTTGCACCGTTTGGGAGTTGATGGGAATGGCGTTATATGATATGGTCCTCGAGGTGAATGATAATGCACCATTGTTTCTCTTTTACATGCTTAGCTAGCAATTGGGTTAATGACATAAAATGTCCTCAAGCTATCACTTAGATTTTAATTTGATCCCTAAACTAATTTAAAATCCGAGTCATAGTTTGAGGATGTCCAACTGAATTAATCCCTTGCAATTTCTGACGTTTACTTGTATACGACTTAATTATCACTAGGGACTGATTGAAGAGGCAAAACTGGATGGATTCAATCTCCCTTACTACGCACCAACACCTGAAGAAGTGAAGCATGTAATCCGAAGTGAAGGGTCGTTTAAAATCCGGCGATTCGAAAATAAAAAATCGATTGGGATGTTAATGGAAGAAACGGAATGAAAGGGAAGAACGTGGCAAGAAACATAAGAGCAATTGCAGAACCACTTCTGGAAAATCATTTTACCAACGCGAACATGGATGATTTATTCGAGAGATTTGCTGACAAGATAGCCGATTACTTGGAGAAGGAAAGAGGCCAATGTACCACCATTGCAGTTTCAATGATCAAGGCTTGATCACCTTCCACAAACCCTTAAATCTTAATGAAGTCAAATTTCGAGTTTCGGTTTAATCAGCCTTAACCTACGGGTTAGTTGCACCGGATGTTTTTAAAATATGGATCGAATTTTAAGTTAAACTAAGGATTAGTTGCATAAGATGTTCTAAAACTACAAAATGTTCCATTTACCTGATTTGAATGGTCTACTTTTAAGGTTCAATCAGAATGTTTTAGACTTTTAGTTTACGTATTGTGAAATTTAAGGACTAAATTAGAGTTTTATCTATAGTTAAGGGATATCCATAAAAGCCAATAATTAAATGATTACAGTTAGATTAGGACTGCAATTTCAAGTTTTAAAAAGCATAGGGGCTAAAATTGACAAAAGAAGGCACTTTCACTGAAAAAACTTGTTCTTCCAAATCTATTTCAAGGTCGGGTAAGGGGGAATTCAGAGAGTGAATGATTCATGTAGACATGAAACCCCAAAAAATTAAATGATAAACATAATCTTGCAACACAAGAAAACACGGTAACCTAAATCGCCTTAGAAACCACCAACAACTGTGGAACTAAATGATTCTCGCTGCATATCGTCCTCGAACTGGTAGCAAACCGGTTTAGTTTGTTATCGGTGTAAGTCACTACATTGCCATAAGCCTTCCGGTGACCGGCCCTGAATATATCGCACAAAATAAACAGTCGGTCTCGGAGAATAAAATCCTTGCGCAAATCGAATGCTGCAGGTCGAGTGAAACTATTTTGCTCAAAAACATAGGCACAAACTCAAATTCACGGGTTTCTGATGAGACATATCCAGTCGGCTAGAAGCGGACCAGCAGCATGCGATTTCAAGGATCCACATGCAAAACTTGCTATGCATAAATTTACCTTAAAACTGAAGAAGCACAAATTGGACTGGCATCTCCCGGCCTAAAATAGAGCTCTATACAGCCATTTTCATCTCTATTTTCTTGTGAGGATCATAACCTATGAGTTTGAAATCGGAAGCCACTAAGGAATCGATATTCTTTTTCACGGGATTGATCTTCAAAATCTGTGGTTCAATATGGTAAGAAGATACTCTAGAAGAAATGAGGTGGCGGTTTCAAGATTAAATCAGTATACTCACCGGAAAAGGCTTTGGCAATTTCTGAAGCTGCTCCTGCAGGGGCCTGACATGAGTGGTATAAACATGAGTATCGCCAAGAACGTGGATGAAATCACCCGGAACAAGATCTGACGAACAAAGGAAATTAAGATAGGTTAGGGCAGGAAGCTGGTCGAACAGGTCTAGAACCAAGTTCTGTTTTCTATTGAGTTTTTTCTCATTTGGTTTATTTTCAGTGGCAACATCGTACCACAAACGTGAGCAATCATGCACGTGAGGAGAGCATAAGATGCAATGTTAAATGGCACACCCAAGCCCATGTCACATGAGCGCTGATACAATTGACATGATAACTCCCCATTTGCTACATAGAACTGCAAACATTCATGTCGGAAAAGCTTAATTTATGTACAAAAGGAAAGCGTGAGACGAGAAATCACAGCTCAATACTAACCTGAGCAAACATGTGGCAAGGAGGAAGTGCCATCAGTTTGAGATCCGAAGGATTCCAGGCTGAGAGTATAATCCTTCTATCATTTGGATTATTCTTAATCTTGTCAATAACATCCGACAACTGATCAAATCCTTGTCCAGTGTAATCGGCATGCATGTTGGTATACCTGAAAAAGATCAGATACAAAACAACAGAAGCTGCACATTGTAGAAAATGAATAGCCAGTGAAAAAACAGAAAGTTGAAATCCACCAACCTAGCACCAAAATGTCTCCACTGGAACCCATACACAGGTCCCAAGTCACCCTCCTCCCTGCCAGTCAACCCAATACTGAGATTGGTGATTCAAAAGTAAGTTAGTACCAACAGGATAAACGATAGAAATTGATCGCAAACGAGTACAATAATACCTGTCAAGAAACTCCCTGGATGCATTCCCATCCCATATATGAATGTCCTTTTCTTGAAGGACCTGTTAGCGATGCAAATATTTTAGAATCAAAATCCATTCAGAGATCTGACTGGCTCAGCCATCCTATAAATAAGATCAATGTCGTTGAAATTGGGAAAAAAATGTTTAAGGCCTACGACGAACTCTACGGGAAAGTAATAAAATATCAAGAGCAAATGGACAATAATAGCTCCACCTTCATTTGTAGAGCATAAAATGTCCAGTAAATGTAAATGGAGTCTGTTGTTGAAGAAATTATTACCTTGGCATTAGTTGAGCCACTGATGAACCATAGCAACTCTTCAACAACACCTCGCCAAAATACTTTCTGCAAACAAGCCGATACTAGCGTAAATCAATTTCTCCTTCTAATTAACATTGAAAATAATATACAAAAAGCCTAACCCCATCACAATGCAATTATGTAAATGATACGTGAACCTAACAATATTACTATACATGCCTTAGTTGTCAGAAGCGGAAAAGTTTTTCGCAAGTTGAACCGCATCTGTCAAAAGTACAGAATATAAAAATATATGTTAATCAGCAATCACAAACCCAAAAAATATATATAGCCGGAAACCAATTTCCAAAAGGAAAACAGACAAGATTTTAACTTAGTGCTATCTATTACCTGGCAACCAAATTTTGATAATGTACCAGTCCCGGTCCTGTCATCCTTCATATTACCATCGGAGATGATGTCTTGAATCATATTGAGGTACAAGTACTCCTCGTGTTTCTCAAAAATCATCTTGGGCAGGAAAGAGAAATTATGTACCTCAAACTTGGAGGAATCTATATCAAGGATCTGATTGCAGTCCTGGTTAATGTGTTCAACTGCAGAGGTTCTCACACGAACATATGTATTGAAACTATACCGTATGTTGTTCTCTACCAGAGGAAATGATGAGTACCAAGGCTGGAATACAGAGAAATCAATGGCAGGCATAAAAGTATCACATTCGATGCTCGTCTCAATTTCTGTAATGTGAATAGCATCACATCCAGCTGCATTGAGGGAGTCCCTGCATCAAATTGTAGTGCATATGAGACAAAAGGGGAGGAAAAGAATGAATTTAAGAGATCTTGCAAACATTTAAAATGTATGCTCTGCACCTCAATATTTGGCCACCGCCAATTACAAAGACTTTCTCGATCGAGAGACAATAAGGAGAAGCAGCTAATAATTCCAAAGCGGACGCCAGGCTTCCACATATAACAACATTCTCAGCGGTTGCAATATCAAAACTTCCGGAACGAGTCAGAACAACATTGAGACGACTCGAAAGAGGTCGATATTCAGGGGTAATACTTTCCCATGTTTTTCTGCCCATTATGACTGCATTCCTTTTCCCAGGGTCTAAAGTAGTACGAGTGACATCATTGAAGAATTTTATATCGGTAGGTATTTTCCAAGGCAACTTCCCATTCTTACCGATACCCCAATCTTTAGTCGCGGCCATAACGACTTGGTAAGTTCGTCGTGGATCAGGTAAGAAATCGACATCAACATTGCCATTACCATTTCCATTAGGTTTGCTCGTCATGGTGTTGGCAGACATATTTGAACTAAAAACAAAACAGACACTCAATGGGGAAGTCTTCCAAATTTGTTTTAGATAAAACCTGTATCAGAAACAAGACCAAAGTCAGAAATCAATACACACACACACAAATATAATTCGAATCTACGAAACATTTCGACAACTCTTTGATCATAGTCAAACCTATTTAAACAAATTAATCTATCAGCATGTAATGAATTAATGCCCCCAAATTCATGATAATAACACATATAAATCAGAGCCAAAGAAATTCTAAATACCGATGCATGTGAGAGACAAAAGGATAAAAGAATTTTTTTTTATAAAAAAGCAGAGATTTTCAACAAATAACTCACACATATTTTTATGAGATTGTACATAGAGAGTTCAAAGCTTAAAAAAATAAAATCAAAACGAACAAAGGTCAACGATAATGGCATCTATACCAAGCATCCTACTATTTTAAAAAAATAGCATTTATGTTACAGCTAAACATTCACGGAACGAGGCAAAATCAAAATTTAAAAATTAAACTTTTTTTCCCCAGAGAGAGAAATGATAACGAAATTACCGACCGATCTGAATCGGAAACATGAAATCTTCAATCAGCAATCGAGAAAGGTTACTCCAACATAATAAGTAGAACTAAAATAGAAACCAGAGAAATTAGGGTTTTTTTTGGGGGGGGGGAAATGGGGGAAGTTGAGTGGAGAGACGGTACTTAATAGGTGGAAGAAAGAGAGTATTTTTGAAATTTTGAAAAAAAAGGAAAATCCAAAATGTAATTGTTGATGCGACGTATACTTTTGCATATTTTATGTTTTTATTTTTCTTTTTTCTTTTAATTTTTTAAAAATTAGAAAATATGTTTCATTAATTTAATTTTAAATTTACAAATAAAAATAAATAAAATATATTAAATAATTAAATTAAAATCTAATTTTTAAAAAAAATATTACATAAAACTACATGAGTTATGTAAATATAAAACACACAAAAAAATTATTTAAATTTATAATAAGAATATAATATTATTATGTATTGGACATCAATTAAATTAGAAAAATATAAAAAAATATTATTATAAGTAAAAGCACACAAAAATATTGTTTAAATGAAATATATATATATATAGTATTTAAGGCCTCAAACTTTGGGGACTAATGCATCCCTTAATTTTTTTATATTAAATACTCTTAATCTAAGAAAAAAATTAATATAATCTTTTGACCAACAAAATCAAATATTAATCATCACGGCACTTACATGATAATTTATAAAACTTACATGGTAATATGTAATGTTGATGTGATAGTATATAATATATGATGATGTGATAGATGAGCTTAATTGATTTTTAACTAAATTTGACGGTCTAATTAATTTTTTCATAAAGTTTGAGAATTATTTAATTTTGAAAAAAAATATTAAATTATTTAAATATAAAATATTAACAATTATTAAGTTATATAATACATTAAATATTAAAATACTACAAAACTAAATTATTTAAAAAATTAATTTAAGGATAACATTGAATATAAAAAAAGTTCAGGACCATATTTATTTATTTTTTTTGCAAAAGTTTGAAAGTTTAAGGGACCATTAAGTAAAACAATAGTTGTTAAAAGGATTGGAATTCATGCAAGTTAAGTTAAAACCAAGATCCCATATTTTCAATTTTTTAAAATAATTTTAATAAAAATATGTTTTTATATTTTTATATTTTCACTTTTCAAAAATTATTTTTTAATTTTACAACTAAACATGTTTTCTTCAATATTTTCTATTTTTTAAAAATTAAAAATGAAAATATTCTATATATTTTAGAATCAAACGAACCATTAATTTTTTTTATTTTTCAAGTTTCATAAATTGGCTCTTTTTATTTAATAATTAAAGTTCAATTAATAATCTAATTAAAATATTTTTATTAAATTAAAGGGTAAAGTATAGAAAAGGTTTTCTGACTATATTACGTTGTTTTGTTGAGTCCCCGACCGTTAGAAGTTACAAAATGATATTTCAATTATTGGGTGTTTCTTGGTTGAGTCTCTCAACTGTTAAAAGTTATAAAATGGTTATCCTACTTTTCATGTGTTTCAAACTCGTTATTTTTGTTAAAAATTGACGACTTTTCGAGCAGACACTAATATGTTGATTGTGATATAACACCCGTTTGAGATTATGAGATCAAATTTTATCATATCTCAATCAGTAGGTTAATGTCTAGCGCAGACTGTCGTTAATTTTTTAACGAAAAATGATGAATTTTAAACATATTAAGAACCAAGTGACCATTTTATAACTTTTTAATGTGGATGGATTCAATAAAACAATATCCTATAATCGATGATCACTTTATAACTTTTAATAGTGGAGTAACTCAATAAAACAAACGTTGGAGTAAATTCTCATGATAAAAATCTTAACTTTGTTTCTGCACCAAGAAGCATGTTTGAATGGTGTTCCATGCATATAGGGTAAAAATCTCAATGAAAAAACAAGAATTTGTGTTATTTTTAGGCGTAGTCAAGATTAGTAAAGACGTTTTAACAAAGAATCTATCTCGAGAAACAGCTAAATACGTCGAATATCAATTCATTGCTTTGTGTTCTTATAAACACATTCTCCATAAGAGAATCATACGTTGATTTCCCTCTCTCTATTAGTTTAGCTCTCAGCCTCCTTTCATATGGTATGAATCTCTCTTCTTCTTCTTGCCATGGCTCAAAGTTTTCATCTTTTTGATCCTTCATGGACATTGTTTATGATCATGCTGATGTTTATGCCTTGCAAGAAGATCATGTTGTGTCTTTGATATCTATGGCATGGTTTTTTTGCAGATGTTTTGATGTGGCTATATAGGTATAGAACCTAATTGGTCAGGCCATAGACATCTTTTGCACGGGTTGTATTTGATCCAGGAGCTGAACGACATTGAAGATAACTGTAACCATGGCTGACACTTCTAAAATGGGTGAGTACTCCTCGTAAAATCAAATATGCATACGGAATATCGGCTATGGTTGATGTCTAGACGTAACAGAATTCGAAAGAACCCGGATTTCGGAAACGACATCCGTTGATTATAGATGGTTGGATTGTGCAGAATCTAAGACTTATGTGGTGGGGGTTGAATGTCTTGTTTACAGGACTCGAAAAATCGGATGTAGAGAACTCGGAGGACGAGAGGAAAAGGAGGCTCGGTTCTCTTACGAAGAAGGCAATTATTACTTCGAGCAAGGTTAGACATTCCATTATAAAGAAGTCGAGGAGACATAGTCGAGTTATGTCCATAGTTAGCATAGAAGATGTCCTCGATGCCGAAGAGTTACAGGCTGTCGATGCGTTCCGCCAAGCACTCCTATTAGATGAGCTACTGCCTGCTAAACATGATGATAATCATATGATGCTAAGGTGACGATCTTTCGGTCTTTTTCATTTAGAAAGATCAAAAGGCTTTAGATTATAAAAATGTTTAGGCAAATTTGATGATGATGATGATGGTGATACAGGTTTCTAAGAGCCAGGAAATTTGATATTGAGAAATCAAAGCAAATGTGGGCTGATATGCTTCAATGGAGGAAGGATTTCGGGGCTGACATGATCATGGATGATTTTGATTTCAAGGAATATGGTGAAGTGGTTAAGTACTATCCACAAGGATATCACGGAGTTGATAAAGACGGACGACCGGTTTATATCGAAAGACTGGGTCAGGTTGACGCTAACAAGCTAACTCAAGTGACCACAACTGAACGATATTTGCAGTATCATGTAAAGGAGTTTGAGAAGACCTTTTCCATCAAGTTTCCTGCTGCATCAATTGTAGCTAAAAAACACATTGATCAAAGCACCACCATATTGGATGTTGAAGGAGTGGTACGTGATACTTGTTACTGCTTTTATTTTCCGTTTACCGGTCCAAAACTCGCTTCATTGCAGTTCTGATACCCGTACCATAAATGAACTTTCAGGGTCTTAAAAGCTTCAACAAGACTGCAAGGGAGCTCCTACAACGACTTCAGAAGATCGACGGTGATAATTACCCCGAGGTAGTCGTTGCTCCATATGATTAAAGTGCCTGAAGATTCTTGGTCCATTTCTAGCATGATGAAACTAATCGAATCGAATGCTTTTAATAATGTATGCAGACCCTGAACAGGATGTTCATCATCAATGCTGGCTCAGGATTTAGGCTCTTATGGAGCACAGTTAAATCTTTCCTTGACCCAAAGACCACTTCAAAAATTCATGTAAGTATATGAATCACCAAGTTTACCTTAAAACCGGACTAGGTTTTCGATTGCGTAATGTCGTTAAACAACACTATGGTATTTTCTTACACAGGTTTTGGGCAACAAATACCAGAGCAAATTGCTTGAAGTAATTGATGCTAAGTGAGTTTTTAAAAGCATTAAGAGTTTCTCTTAATATATATATGTATGTGTATGCAAACATTTCTATTGTTGTGGCTACTTCAACAGTGAACTACCGGCGTTTTTTGGCGGGAACTGTACTTGCACGGATAAAGGCGGATGCATGCTGTCCGACAAGGGTCCATGGAACGATCCGGAAATACTAAAAGTACATCAGATACAAATGTTAAATACGGATATATGATAATTGATATAATAAAATGGTGTACTTTCATTTCATGAGCAGAGGGTTCAAAATGGTGAGGCCAAGTGCACAGGGAGAAATATGTCGAGCTTTGAGGACAAAGCATGCCTAGAGGTATGCATTGCTTTGCCATTTCGAACATTCATAAATTATTCTAGACCTAACTTATATCATGCATCTACAAACTGAATGCATAACCTTTTTTCCTCTTTGATGTTCCGAACACGAAGACGAGCCATTCCTTCGATGCAGAAAAAGTGACTACGAGGCTTGCAGAGAAGGATAGTTTATCTCCTGTTGCTGAAGTATGTTTAACGCATTATCATGTCGGTGTCAAGAAATGAAAATAATCAAATACTTTGTATTTCGTGTTTTGTTTTTTCTTTGTTTCGTGTTCGTTTATGTCGATCATCATCTTCTCTGTACATTGTAGTCTCCCATCAATAAAAAGTTCCAGGGTTCCCTTTCCTATGACAAGTTTATTCCAATGGTTGACAAGACCATGGATGCTTCATGGCCTAAATCAATGGCATATGAAAAATTTTCCAATTCCGAAGGTAGAGATTTTCCGGATGACCGAAACTTTCCAATGCTATACCAAATTACCATCCGTTTATCCATTTGTTTTTATCCCCCAAAACTGCAGATGGTTACCATATGAAGGATGAAGTGAAGGTTACCAAAAGAATGACCAACAAAGTTTTCGGAGGAATCATGGGATTCATTACGGGACTCATAACCATGATTCGCTTGTCCCGCAACATGCCGAAGAAACTACTTGAAGCAAACACGTACGATGGTCAAGTTTACTATGCTGACCCAAAGACCGCACGCCATGCTCCTCCTCTGCCACCGCCTATCACTAGTGCCGACTACTTTTCCATGATGGAACGCATGGCTGACCTGGAAGGCAAGGTGAGTGTTCTCATGGGGAAACCGGCAACCATGCCACCCGAGAAAGAGGAGTTGCTGAATGCTGCTTTAAGCAGGGTCTGCACCCTCGAAGAAGAGATATCTGCAGCTAGGAAGGTACATACATACATCCATACATGCATATAGCAGCAAATGTATTTTTCAATCTCTGAATTTACATCACCTCTTTTCCCCTTTTGTCTTTTGCTTATGCAGGAGCTTGAAGAAGCCCTTTTTAAGCAGCAGGAACTTCAAACCTACATCGATAAAAAGGCCAAGAAGAAGAAGTTTGTAAGTTATCAAAGTTCTTTAGTGCTTCAACATTTTGGGATCATGCAAACTTTAGTTGTACTTTGAAGTTTTTGTTCACATTTCATTTCCCTGGACCGTGATTGCAGAACCCATTCCGCCGGTAAACTGACTAATCGTGATCAATCTCCGACGTCGTTGGTGGCTTGGTTATATTCAGCCCCACAGATGAATTCAGACTACAAACCTTGGAGATTTGGCATTTCCCTTGCACTGTCGTGTATATTTTTAACCACTATTGCGTATAAATTTAGAGAAATGGTCTTCGTCAGTCCTGGTTGTGATGTTCTGCAAAATGTTCTATATACATTTATATACATTTATACATACATACATACATACATGTACTAATAAGAGTGGAACAAAAAGGAAACAAAAACAGTACTTATAACTCAACACCAACAGGATTACCATGAAAGGCGTTTCAGCTTTTTTAATAGAAAAACTCTGTAAATATATAACCCCCAGAACGAACTCTTTGGTTTATCTTCTATCAATCTGTACTAAATCATTTCAAGTTTTACTTCTTTTGGGTCAGGTTGGATCAATTTTGAGTTTTAATCATTTCAATTCTGGTCATTTCAGATTCAAATCTTATTCTGTTCAGATCGTAAACTTTTGACGATCAGTTCAGATGGAAAAGTGTTTAGAATCAAGTCGATTGAGTCGAGTTTTTGGATTCGTATGATCCATTGGCCTAAGCCGGCATGTACGCATTAGGAAGATCAAGGATTGGCTAACTCCGAACTTGTGAATAACTCTTCATTGCTTTGGGGGATGCAATCTCTTCAGCTTCTGATCCAGATTCTGCCGTAGAAGTATCACTTCCTTTAAGCTGTTTCATACCACACACAGGCAATGAGATAATGGAAAAATATTTCCTCAGAAAAGGGAATACCATGATTTTCCAGAATAGACAGGCATCACAAGAAGTAAGAAAGATTACATACCATTGGATATTGTGGCTTAGCATAAGCAATAACCTTCCCTTCACTATTTAAAACTTTTACAACTTGTCTGGCAACTCGTGCCTCGCCATTAAGAACCATCTGATATTATAATTTATAAAATGATCATCCAGCTCTGTTGGTAGAACACAAAGTTTTTAATCTTGAGGTTGTGGGATTGAGTCCCGTAGAGGGTATTTTATAATTTGGAAGTTTCCCACGGAAGCTGCTCTCAACCTGGCATCGGGAGTCAGCCTATTATCTTACCTCCCCTACCACATTATATATGGGTCATTTATTTATTTTTATATTATAATTTATGGTTCTAAGTTAGAGTATGTTATAAAATAATGCAATTAAATAATTTTTAAGATTAAATTAATTCAAAAATACGAACAAAATAATAAATTAAATTTATTATAGAGATAATAATAACCCTCAAACCCTTGTTTTTATATAATTATACAAACACAATAATCTTTATTAAAAGAAAATAGTCCATAAATCTTTATTTTTCTTTTGATTTATTTTTTCATCAAATAAATTACAATATAAAATTTTAAATTAAACCAAATAAAAAATATATCAAACTCCAACCTCCATTTTAACTCGTTACAAAGGTAAAGAGTTGAACCACAAACATCAATCCACCAAACAAAGAATTCATCATCACAAAGTTTGACATTTGTGCACATTGTTACACGTCCTACATGCATGTTTGACCTAATTCTAATTTATTAATCATTAGGCAATATAGTCTCATCGAAGTGTTAACCTACCGACTCCTATTTTATTTATAAATACATCAATTCTATCAAAGTAAATATTAGGCTAAAGTACACATATGGTCCCGGTTATAAAGAACAGTTTTATTAAGTCCATCGACTATTAAAATTTACAAAACGGTCATTTAATCGAGTGTTACTTTGTTAAGCACATCGACTATTAAAAGTTACAAAATGATCACTCGACTATTCATTATGTTCCAAACTCGTCATTTTGATAATAAAAATTGACAATTGTTTAAGTTGGACATTCACATGATGACTGAGATATGATAATCGTTTGAGATTTTGAGATTAGATTTTATCATATCATAGTTAGTAGGTTAACGTTCAGTTCGAAATGCCGTCTACTTTTTAACATAAAAGGATGAGTTTGGAACATAATGAATAATCAAGTTATCATTTTATAACTTTTAATAGTATAGCGACTTAGCAAAGCAATACTCTATAGTCGAAGGACTATTTTGTAACTTTTAATAGTCGGGAACTCAATAAAACAATACCTTATAGTCGAAGGATCATTTATGTACTTAACCCTAAATATTATTCATCATGCACCATAAAATATTAGCATGACATCAAATTAAAAATAAAATTCATATATAAATTTAATATTTATTTTGATATTTTGTCTACAATTAATAAAGAAGGGGACACTTTGTTCTTACAAATCGCTTAATTCACGATTTGATAATCAAATTATATTCATTTTTCGATTATGATATCTAATATATTATGAATTCATTTTAGTACTTAAGTTATCATTTTGTCTCAATTGATCCAAATAAACTATCAATGTTACTAAACCGTCTAAAACTCCTCCATTTTCTCAAACAAACAGAAAGATAAAAAGAAAAGCACAGAAGAAACAGAGCAGCCTCTTCGTCTCCCTCTCTTCGTATTTTTCCTTTCTGTGAAACCGCCGATATTTCCATCACGGAAACGGCGTCGTCTTCGGAGATCCGGCGGGAACGGTCCGGTTGCGTCTGGTTCTGATTTTACTTGTAGTAATTCATCAAAAGTAGCCGAGAATCATGTAAAATCGTGGTGATTTATCAATAATTTTTTATTTTCCTTCTTTTTCCGCCTCTCGTAATATATGTTTAAGTATGATTTTGCTTTGATTGTGTTTACTGTGCTTATTTTGGGAAAAAGTTTTGAAGAACTTTTTAGAGAGGTTCCTTCCACGTTATATTGATCACGAATCACTGCTATTACTTATTTAGGCTTTTATTTTGGATCTTACTTTGAATTCTGATTTTGTTTATATATATATATATATATTGCTTATTGAGTGAGCAAGTGCGGATAAACGATTCTGAGAGTGTTATTCTGAGCCTACAAGCCTTGTCACTTACTTTGTCTCTTAATATTTCTTTTTTTTATGTTTTTAACTGATTTAAATTTTGTTTTTCTACAGTAATGGTAATAATTTATGTCTAACTTTAGTAATTAATAATTGCTTGTAATATTTTATATTTAGCCTCTAAAATTATCAATAAGCTTATTGATGGTTTTCTTTTTATGTCAGTAAACAAAGGATTATTTTGTTGGTTCCGGTAATGTGAATGATGGTCGTTTAAATACCGTTATAGCATCGGTTTGAGTTGTGGTGGATCATGGGGGCTGCTTGTTGTGTTGCTGCTAGAGACAAAGCTATAGTAAATGGATCAGGCAGTGAACTTTTACATAGGAATATAAGATGTTCACCAACTTGGAGTTTTCATTGGGATAACTGTGGGCGTGTGGCGGGTGAAGACTCTTCTGTAAGTTGGTTTTCAGATGTGGTTAGTCGGAATGATGGATCAGAGGTCAAACTTGAATCTGCTTGTGTTTCGGAAGATGGAAGTCTGTCTGGGAGTTTTCAGTCTAGGACATGGAAAAAGTGGCCAACTTCAGAAGGAGATGGTGGAAATTTGAGAACTCCCGTTTCAGGTAATCTCCTTGGATGTTGGTATAAGTGTGAATCATGCTGCTTTCATAATGTTGGAAATACTTTTGAATGTTAAGCTTATTTTCCTACTATTGCTGTATCATATGGGAGCATAGCTGAATAGATAAATAATGGCTGAATTAGACATAGAAAAGTGTTTCTGATCAAATATCAGAAAACAGATGAGCTCAAGTCCTTGTAAGCACTGGAAGAAAACGGTAATGTATAAGTTAGTTAAAGGTGAAAATTTTGTCTCTCTTTTTGAAGACTTGAACTTTTATAATTCATAATTTACTTGGCTAACATCTTTAATATTCTCCTGAAAATATTGTTTAATAAAACAGATGCATGCATAGAAGGATTAAACCTTTGCCTATTGGTTGGACCTTCTGGCCTTTTCCGCTTTCCTTTGAGCAGTGTTTTACTTCTTGAAAGATGTTACTATACCTTGTTTATGTTCCATACAGTGTGACGAATGCAAGAATACTTTATATTCAGTTTGTGTTTATTATGCAGAGCATTGTAAGGAACTAAATACGATGTTTATGGTGTATGTGTTGTTTTTTTCTGGATTTTTTTTTGGGGGTGGTGGTGGTTCTGGTCGGCATGAGATTTGCGTCTCTTGTCGTGTTAAATGTTAATGTCATTCTACCATTTTGTTGGTTTTCCAATCTTTAGATGTGGGAATAATACTCTTAACAAAAATAAAAGGATGTCTGAAATGTTCTTTTGCAGTTGTTATTTCTAACGATCTTTTACATATATTATGCAGATCAATCTATTTCAAGAAATATCTCTATTGATGTGAACTTAGAGCAGGTAATGTTATTTCATTTCATGTAAGAATTTCATGCCTGCTCCCAATGCCGTGATCATCCTTTAAGAATTCTGGATTGTGTTTCAGGTGAGGGAGTCAATAGAATCCCCAACAGCCTCATGTCGATCTCCTCCTAAGTTATCGTTTTCTTTGCCATCAGCTTCCTCCTTAGCTACATCTCTTTCGTCATACCAGAGTTATGTGCATCCTACCAGTTCAACGGCAACGAGGTGGCCTCTGGAATTGAAATCACCGAATAGGTACTCAGTTCGTGAGGAAAGGCCAGTGACTCCTTCATGGAGTAATGAATCAACCGGTGGCTCTCGTGGTGGTTCTTCTGATGCTTGGTCTATGCATGCCTTTTCTGAACTTATGGCTACATCTCGTAGGGAAAGGTTGTCTTTTGATAATGACACATGGGGTTCTCATCGTGAGAAGATAAGCACGTCCAGTGGCCGAATCTCAGCATCTCCCTCTGTTGATCTGCAAAAGTGTGGTGTTTGCTCAAAGCTACTATCGGAAAAATCTTTGTGGAGCAGCCAGAAGATTGTTATTAGCAATGAGCTTCCTGTTGTCGCTGTTCTAACATGTGGGCATGTTTACCATGCTGAATGTTTGGAGCATATGACCCCTGAAATCGACAAGTACGATCCGACTTGCCCGATATGTACACTGGGGGAGAAGACAACACACAAATTATCCGAGAAAGCATTTAAAGCAGAAATGGATTTTAAGGCTAAAATCAACAAAAGATCAAGGAATCGAGTTGTTGATGGTGATATCGATGATGATCCTGCTCTATTTAATCGTCCAAACAAAAACGGACTCGAAGGAGAGGCCTCCAGTTCGAACACGAAAAGCTCGAGCAGGCCTTTCCTGTGGAAGCACTTTTCTTTTGGATCAAAGGAAAGCAGGTCCCCTTCAGAGAATCACTCTACTAGGAAAAAGGGTCTTTTCTGGACCAAATCTAGCAAGACATGATGTTTGAGTCTGCTTCGAGGAGGTTAGTATCATCTCTCTTTGACAAATAAAACTGCCTTTCTTATAGCTTCAATGTCATAGTTATGCATTTCTTTGGAGTTCTGCCGGATATCGGGATCTCATCGACTGGATTATATCAGGTGGAACTTCCACTTGTAAAGAAGATATTGCTAATTTACAGGGTGATTAGAATAGATCGATATATTGAAGAAAAAAGGAATGGAAAAAAGAAGAAAATATGGGCATTACAGTAGTGATTTGTTTCATGCTTTGTACAGATTGATCTGTTTCATGCTTTGGATATTCATACACGAATTGATTCATATGAATTTTATGTATGGTTATTTGGTCTTTTTGGCCCATTAGTGCAGGCGGATAAAAAATTTATCCCATTAGGTCATCTCGGAAATTAATTTGGAATCTACTGCAAATGTTATAGTACATGGAAAACTCGTCACGCTGTAGTAAATGCCGTAGATTGTACCGTACTGGGCTAATTTTGCCTGGTTAATTGGTTTTGGATCTTCGTCCCATAAAAGCAATTACTTGTTTAACTTGTTCGTCTCTATTTACGAATGTTAAATGTACGCCGGACTACACCAGAGAGATTCTTAACCTAACAACGCAATTAGGCATAGTAAATAATATCCGATTTAATATTTAAACTATTTGCTTTAGTTCATTTTAGTATCTAATTTTTTTTTTTTTTCAAAATCTTACCTAACGTTTAATTTTCATTTTATTTTAGTACTCGTTATTAAAAACTTAACGTGTTCAGTACCTAAACTATCAATTTTGATCTGTTTTAGTTTTTTTATTTTAATTGTTTTAAAACTTGAAATTAATTTTTAAACGAGGTATTAAAATGAAATAAAAATTAACTATTTTAACATCGAGATATTAAAATGAAATAAAAATTAAACTTTAAATATATTTTTGAAAAAATTAGAAGTTTAAATACTAAAATGGATAAAAATTGATAATTTAGATATTAAAATAGATAAAAATTGATAATTTAGATACTAAATGTGTAATTTATCTTATTATTTAATACTTTTAACATTTTTTTCCCAACCAAGACTCAAAATGATTTTTTCAGTGAAATGATTATTTATTTTCGTTATATTTTATTTTTATTAAATAAAATTTGAGATAAATTATTAGTTTAATACGTAAATTATTAATTTTGATATATTTTAAAATATTTGAACTTTAATTTTTTAATATTATATTTAAATTTTAGTTTTGTTATTTTAGTATCATGTATAAAATTTAATTCTAAATTATGAAAAAATTAGAAAATTTAGATACTAATCATGTTAAGTTTTTTAATGATGGGTATTAAAATGAAATAAAAATTAAATGTTGATTTTAAAAAATTAAAAGTTTAAATATTAAAATGAATTGATAGTTTAAGTGTACGTTGTTATTGCATGCCATCTGGCAATTGTCACCCACCACGTCGCCGCATGAATTCTCTGACGTGGCTGTACCTTGAATGTATCATTTGCAAACGGCTCGCCACGGCTCGCCACCTGTAGGACAGAAATCCTACACGTCATCTCCGCCGTCTCATCAAAATAAGTATATCAATTTTATCACACCATAAAAGTTTCATACGAAGATGGCTGATTTAAGAGACAAGCATGGCAACCCCATTCAACTGACCGACGAGCACGGCAACCCGGTTCAATTGACCGATGAATATGGTCATCCCATGAACGTCACCGGTATAGCCACCACCACCAAGCATCCACCTGTGCACGGTGGTCAGAACCAGATGGTGGAACCCCAGGCTCGTCCTGCTCCTGCCTCCGAGTCTCAGCTGCAGCAGCAACAGCAGTATCGGCCGCCGCCTACACCGCCACGCTACGAGGTTTCAAACAAGGAAGACATCCAGCCCTCCGCCATCTCCGGCACCAGCTTGGTAATGAATGAACCATCTCCCCTTTTTCTTTCTTTCTGGATTTGAACTGTTTTCTGGTATATATTGTTCGAGGATGACGAAAAGAAGAAATGGCAGGAGGACAAAATAAAAGAGAAACTAACAGCAGGTGGAAATCACGAGGAGGAGGAATCTCAGACCACCGTCAAAACCTCCGTCACAACCACCGGAACCACCACACCACTTGCGCAGCCACAGCTTGAGCAGGAGGAGCTGTGTTTGAGGGAGAAGATCAAGGCAAAATTGCCCTGGTGAATCAACGTGTCATTTTGTATGCTTTACTTCTAAATCTTTCGGGGTGTATTAGGATTCGTGTATCCATATATATGTGTGTGTGTGTGTGATCCTGTTATAATTAATGTAAATTTGTGTTTTTATCTTTAATTTTTATTATTTTATTACTCGTTATTATTAAGTAATTTATTATATTTTTATAATGTATAAACAAAGTTTGATGGGATGCAATAATGCAAATGATTAAAATTCATATTTAATTATTTTAAATTAAGTGATAAATTGCTCGTCTTATTTCTATTTTTGGATAAATTAAGGGTAAATGATGTGTTTAGTACCTAAACTATCAATTTTTCTCATTATAGATTCACACCAACGTTTAGTTTTTGTTTCATTTTAGTATCAAAGTATTCAAAATTTAACGTTAAATATTTTTTTAAAAATAGTTTTTGTTTCATTTTAATAATTAGGTATTCAAAATTTAATGCTAATTTTTTTAAAAAAAATTAAAGTTTAGGTACGTTAAATTTTAATTTTTTTGAAAATTAAGGTACTATAGTAAACTTAATGGTTGGTATTAAACTGAAATAAAAGTTAAAAGTTTAAGTACTAATTGATAGTGTAAGTACTAAACCTAATGTGGGTACTAAAATAAAAGAAAAATTAGATATTGTGTATGATCTATTAAATAAATTTAGTGTAAGTACTAAACCTAATGTGGGTACTAAAATAAAAGAAAAATTAGATATTGTGTATGATCTATTAAATAAATTTAATGATTGATACTAAAATGAAAAAAAAAATAAAAAAAAAATTAGATATTGTGTATGATCTATTAAATAAATTTAATGGTTGATACTAAAATGAAACAAAAACTAAATATTAGGTAAAGTATTAAAACAGATAATTTAGGTACTAAATGTGCAGTTTACCCATAATTAGTTACTCGTCTACTTCTTTGCCTCTGTTTCTCTTAGTCGACAGTCATTAGCCATCACTCCGTTGCCAAAAACCCTCCTTTTTTCTCTTTCTAGCTTATTTTATAAACCCTTTTTTTCTCTTCTTCCAGATGTTCTCTCAATCCCAATCCCATTTCCTTTCGTTCCCCTCCAAATCCCTCTCTTGTTCTCCCAACAAAACTCCCTTCCTTTCATGCCCCGCCTTCAAAACCCTCGCCATTTCTCTCCGATCGAAAGCTATGATTCCCCGCTCCAAACTCTCCGCTAACACCGACCCTTCTTTATTAAACGACACCCATCTCGACCGTTTCACCGAGGTCGGCAACAAGCTAGCCGATGCCGCCGGTGAAGTCATTCGCAGCTATTTCAGGAAGAAATTCGACATTATTGATAAAGAAGATTTGAGTAAGTTTCCCTTTGCTTGAATTTAATCAAATCCAGATGCCTTTTGGTCTAAAGGTGTTTGTCTTGTTGAATTCATGGATTCTAGGTCCAGTGACCATTGCCGATCAAGCTGCTGAGGAATCTATGGTTTCGATTATAATGGAGAACCTTCCCTCTCATGCAATGTGAGTAATGAGTTATCTATTTGAAATCTCCGTTTGCTGAGAAATATTAGAACTGTTAATTGTAGTTATGGGGAGGAGAAAGGGTGGAGGTGTAAAGAGGAATCTGCAGTTTATGTTTGGGTTTTAGACCCAATAGATGGCACAAAAAGTTTCATTACTGGTACTTAACATATTCCTTTCTATTTTCATTCAAAGTAAACTTTCGGTTTCATGGTTGAATTTCGGCCTGAAGCGACCTTATGCTTCTCGGTTTCCAGGGAAACCGGTGTTCGGTACTCTCATTGCTTTGATGAAGAACGGTAAACCAGTAAGTCTCGTTTATGCCCTCTGCAGGGCTCTTTGGCCTATGCTAATATTCATTAGTGGTGGATGATGTTTCCATTTTCATCATAGCAAAACCGAAACCGGTTTTGCGAAGTTGATTTTTGAGCTTTGCTTGAAGCTGAATTGTAGGAATTTGTATCACGTTGCTATGAATATGCTGTCCTTTTCATCGAAACTTTGTTTTTTTTACCCCCATTGGTTAAACATGCCATCTGCGTACACTTCCGATCGGTTAGTTTTGCTTTTTGATTGTTTGCGACTTATGTTTAGAACATTGTCAAATACTGAGTCGAATGCATCATAGTGCATAAGTTCGGTTGAATTAAACATCCTTTTGTTTAAGAGTCATGAATCTAATTTGAAAAGTGCATCGTAGTTCTTTAGATTTGTTTAATGTACGTCTTTATCTTTCATATTTTCCAGATTCTTGGCATAATTGATCAGCCTGTCCTTAGAGAAAGATGGATTGGAATAAGTGGAAGGGCAACCACATTGAACGGACAGGAGGTGGCTACACGAGCTTGTACAGAACTGTCGCGAGCGTATTTGTATGTTTTCCTTGTCTACGACTAGCTCTTACTTTATGTGTTTTCCCACAAAACTCAGTCTCCGAAAGGACTCATTTTACTCTTTCCACTTACCTTCTTCTTGATGTGTTTTAGGTACACCACAAGTCCCCATCTATTCAGTGGAGATGCTAACGAGGCATTTGCTCGTGTTAGAGATAAGGTTGTGTTAGTATTTTGGTTTCGAGTGGATTAAATAAGGTGTTTAAATTTACCCTTAGTTAGTAACTGATATTAGCTAAGACTTTCTGAGATGATAAAAAGATCAGGATCGTCAATTACGGTTACGGTAAGACCGTAAGAATATTCATGATAAAAGACTTCAAAGAATTACATTCTCGTGATATATAGTCTTGACTCCGTTTTTTCAACAGGTGAAAGTGCCACTATATGGCTGTGACTGCTACGCCTATGCCCTCTTGGCTTCTGGTTATGTGGATCTTGTCGTCGAGTCTGGTCTCCGGGTACAAATTTATTTTTTCTCTTTTTGTTAAAGACCAGTAAATGCAGTGGAAGTTAAAAAGACATGGAACCATTTAACCTGATGTTTCTCTCTAATCAAAATCTTCGTCAGCCCTACGATTTCTTCGCCCTTATACCTGTTATAGAGGGTGCTGGGGGTGTTATAACCGACTGGAAGGGAAATCAGCTCCATTGGGAAGCTTCTGCAAGTTCGCGAGCTACATGTACGTTGACGCTCTTAATTGTTCTCTCTTTTTTTTCTTTTGAACAAGTGTTGGTGGTTGAACATTGCTGATCTGGTTATTTTTGCTCGTCTTCTAGGCTTTAATGTAGTGGCAGCTGGAGACGAACAGATTCACCAACAAGCTCTAGATGCCCTGCAATGGCAGTGAGAGACTTTGCTGCATCTTTTAACTCAAGAAACCAACTATGCAACAGAATCAGGTGGGACTGCATTTAGCATGTTTCCTGTGTTGAATATGCAGGTAATAAGTGTGTCGGAGTCGATCGGGGTGGTTAAAATATGTGGAAGCTCTAATCGGAATGAAATTTAGTTCATTTGGTATCGATTTAGTCTATATGATTCGGTATACACTGCTACAAGTTGTAGTTGATTGAAAACGCTCAAACTACATTGAAATATTTTTTCAGTATGAAATTTAATTTAGGGTAAGTTACACTAATAGTCACTGAACTTTTAGTGCATATTTATTTTGGTCGTTGAAATCAATTTTTTTAATGGAGTTGTTATCGTTTAGAAATTTTTATTTTTAATTTCGGTCTCTAGACCATTAAACTATTAGTGGCAGTTTGCTGGGTCAATATCTAGGCATGCCATTGGAGAGTTTTATTTAAGAATGGGATCATTAATGGTTTAATGGCATAATGACTGAAATGAAAAGTTCTTTTAACATCGGTGACCAATGGAAGTTTTTCGATTTCAATTATCAAAGTGGAAATGGTCGATTTATGATCAAAACGAAAACGTTTTAGAAGTTTAGTGATTATTAGTGTAATTTATCCTTTAATTTATTTGGTATCTAAGACCGGTATTAACATACGAGCGAAAGAAATCCCTTGATTTCTTGGTTACTATTAGTACAGTCGTGCCAACGGAGAATCAGGACAGGGGAATCCCGGTGGATTATTACTATATAACACCCCGACACCACAAAGAACCGGCCGTTATTACATCGCAAGAGCCTTCGCTGGTGTTATCGAAGCAGCATCCGTGTTCGAAACTGTTTGTCGTCACGCTCGTTTCGATGTCCTTGCCATTCATTGCACCCGCTCTCACCGCTTTCTATTTCACTTATCAACAAAGCAGGGTTCTGGTCATTCTTATCGAATCTTTCAACGATAGTGCCTCTCCCGATGACACCGTCGACGGCCAGTTGATTTTTATTTTTAAGAACCCCAATGAGTATGCTTCGATTCTGTACATGGATCTTCGGGTCTCGATCTTCGACGACGAGGAACTGCTCTTCTGCTGTTTTGGACGTACTCGAAGAAGAACGAAATGGTGTTTTCTTTGAACGTGGACGCTATGGTATGTTTGAAAGCTAAACATTTGCATGATTTCTGCGAGACATTTGAAGCTAACTGCGGGGTCTTCGACTTTCGGCCTCCGAACGTAACGTTGAATGGTCGGCGTGACGTCGATTTCCGATCAGGTTTATCGCTTAGAATCGTTCGTGTTTTTCTCTTTATTACGGTAGTTGTTATGGATCATAGATTTTGGTCTCTGCTTATAATCCTCTTTAGATATCGGTTAGATATATGATCAAAATATCCAAATTCGATAAATTTTGACCTCATTTTCTTTTATAGGATTGATTTTTCAGGTTTGAGATTGGGATAGGTCCTCCGACTATAATTACAAAACGGTCCTCCGATTATAGCGTATTGTCTTATTAAGTCCTTCGACTATTAAAATTACAAAATGGTTACCCGACTATTCAATAGGTTCTAAACTCGTATTTTTTGGTTAAAAATCGACGGTTGTTTAAGCTATACGTTAACATGATAACTGAGATATGATAGTCGTTTGAGATTCTAGGATCATGTTTTATCATATCACAGTCAGCAGGTTAATGTCCGGCTCAAAATACCATCAATTTTTTAATAGAAAATGACGAGTTTGAAACATAATGAATAGTTAGGTGACCATTTTGTAATTTTTAATGGTGGGTACTAAAATGAAACAAAAATTACATTTTATGTATGATTTTAGAAAAAACTAAGTTTAGGTACTAAAACAAATCAAAATTTAACCCGTTTAGTATCTAAACTATCAATTTTAGTTTGTTTTAGTACTTATACTTTCAATTTTTTCAAAACTTAATGTTAAATTTTGAACATGATATTAAAATGAAATAAAAATTAAAGTTTTTTAATGGTGTGTACTAAAATGAAATAAAAATTAAACTTTAGGTATGATTTTGAAAAGAATTAAAAGTTTAGGTACTAAAATAGAACAAAACTTAACCCGTTCAATATTTAAACTATCAATTTTGATTCGTTTTAGTACCTAAACTTTCAATTTTTTTCAAAATTTAACATTAAATTTTGAATGGATACTAAAATGAAACAAAAATTAAATTTTTTAATGGCAGATACTAAAATAAAATAAAAATTAAACTTTAGGCATGGTTTTGAAATGAACTGAAAGTTTATGTACTAAAACATATCAAAACTTAACCCGTTCAGTATCTAAACTATCAGTTTTGATTAGTTTTAGAACATAAACTTTCAATTTTTTTCAAAACATAACATTCAATTTTGAATGCGATACTAAAATGAAACAAAAGTTAAAAATTTTTAACTGTGGTACTAAAATAAAATAAAAATTAAACTTTGATAATAAAAAGTTTAGGTACTAAAATGGACTAAAATTGATAATTTGGGTATTAAACGCATAATTTACCCAATTTGTTAACAGTTAGCTAACAATGGAGGGAAAAGCAGCAAGCAATCCAAAATCTTTCTCCACGAACATTGCCTCGTAATTAGCAACCACCCGAAACTCCATTTCTGCTGTCGGTTCCTTTCGCCATTGATTTCCAAACCAAAAAAAAAAAACAGAAAAGGGCATACAAACATTTCCATAAATGAAAAAAAACAAAACATCCTCGTTGCTGGGTTCCGTTCCGACAACATCCAGGAGGAAGGATGGAGATAGAAAAGAACCCGAGAAATTCGGAAACCGGCCGTTTTCTATCCTCCATTTTGTCATCACTGTCGCCACCATTTTCATCATCATCGACGATGACAATCCTCCTGGTGTTGTTGTTGTTGTTCTTTAACGTCTTCGAATCATGCTCCGCCGTGAGCGGCGCCGTTTCCTTCACTCCGGAAGACAACATCCTCATCGACTGTGGTGCGGGTTCGCGGCCGGAGCTTCCCGATGGGAGAGAATTCAAGACAGATAAAGAAGCTTCCGACTACTTGAAAACCAAGAATGATGTTCGAGTATCTGTCTCGGCTCATGTTCCTTCACCTATATACTTGAACGCCAAGGTTTTCCCTGAAGAAGCAACGTATTCGTTCTCCTTGAAACGACCCGGTTACCATTGGGTACGCCTCCATTTCTTCGCGTTGAAAGATAACCGGTACGATCTCCGGCGATCGACATTCTCGGTGACGGCGAATCGGTATGCTCTGCTGCACAACTTCAAGATCAATAATAACTCGATTCCGATCCTCAAGGAGTACTTGTTGAACATGACTGATCCTACGTTTACTCTCAAGTTTGAGCCTATGAATAATTCGTTCGCTTTTATAAACGCGATCGAGGTCGTTTCTGCGCCTGATAGCTTGATCGCCGACGAAGGGACTTCCCTTCTTTCTGTCGACAGGTTTTCCGGTTTAACAGGGCATGGATACCAGGTTGTGTACAGGGTGAACATGGGGGGACCTTTGATCACTTCGAAGAATGATACACTTGGAAGGACATGGATACCCGATGCTGCTTTTCTCGAAGACAAGAATTTAGCCAAGGAAGCCTCGACCTCGGTGAATTCGATCAGATACCCCTTGGCTGTCACGCCATTGATCGCACCGGCAATTGTTTATTCAACTCTTACCGAGATGGCTGATGTGCACGTCCCGGCCAATGTCTCATGGAAATTTGACGTTGATAAAGCTTTTGATTATTTGCTTAGGTTGCATTTTTGTGACATTGTTAGCAAGGCACTCAATGATCTGTATTTCAATGTTTACATTAATGCTAAGATGGCGATTTCCGGGTTGGACTTGTCAAGCTTAAGCGGCAGTAGGTTGGCCGTCCCGTATTACAAAGATATCGTCGTGAACGCTTCGTTCTTGGGGGATGGAATAAAGGTTCAGGTCGGTCCATTGAATCACATTAACTGGAAGAGTAATGCGATCCTTAATGGCTTGGAGGTGATGAAAATGAGCAACTCGGCCGATAGTTTGGATGGGGAGCACGGTGTTGTCGGCGGAGGGTCCGAACTGTCCCACAATGACACGGTGATTGTAATCGGCTTCGCGATGGCGTTGGGTGCCTTTGTGGGTCTCGGTGCAATGGTCTATAAATGGAGGAAGAGACCCCAAGATTGGCACAAGAGGAATAGTTTTTCTAATTGGTTGCTCCCACTCCATGTAGGACATAATAATATCCCCTTGAACAAGGGCAGTGGTTCTCAGAAGAGCAACCTTTGCTCCGGCTTAGGTCGACGTTTCACTTTGGCAGAGCTGCAAGAAGCAACCAATAACTTTGATTCGAGTGCGATAATCGGTGTTGGTGGATTCGGCAATGTCTATTTAGGTACCATCGGTGAGGGGACTCGAGTTGCTGTGAAGAGAGGGAACCCACAATCTGAACAAGGTATCAATGAGTTCCAGACAGAACTCCAGATGCTGTCGAAGTTAAGGCACAGGCACTTGGTGTCACTGATTGGTTACTGCAAGGAGAACGACGAAATGATCCTAGTTTACGAGTACATGTCGAATGGACCTTACAGGGATCACTTGTACGGAAAGAACTTGCCACCATTATCGTGGAAGCAAAGGCTGCAGATTTGTATCGGAGCCGCTCGTGGACTTCACTACCTTCACACCGGTACCGCACAAGGGATCATTCACCGTGATGTTAAGACCACCAATATTTTGCTCGATGATGCCTTTGTGGCCAAGGTAGCTGATTTCGGTTTGTCAAAAGACACACCCATGGGACAGACTCATATTAGCACCGCAGTGAAAGGTAGCTTCGGGTACTTGGACCCCGAATACTTCAGAAGCCAACAATTGACAGAAAAATCCGACGTCTACTCATTCGGGGTAGTTTTGCTTGAAACCTTGTGTGCAAGGCCTGCCATTAACCCACAATTGCCAAGAGAGCAGGTTAACTTGGCTGACTGGGCAAGGCAATGGAAGAGGAAGGGTTTGCTCGAAAAGGTTGTCGATCCTCATATAGCAGGTTCCATCAATCCGGAATCAATGAAGAAGTTCGCCAACGCCGCTGAGAAATGCTTGGCCGAAGACGGCGTCGACAGACCTTCGATGGGGGATGTTTTGTGGAACTTGGAGTACGCCTTGCAACTGCAAGAAGCATTCACAGAAGGCAAGATGGAGGACGAGAGCAAGCCATCGGAAGCCAGCACCGCTTCTCAACCCTCTATCTTGGTGTCATCCGCAAGTCCTCCAATCGATAACAACCAGGAAGACAACAAGGGTCCAGGTGAAGTTCAAGCCATTGATGATCACTCAGAAAATGCAATGTTTGCACAATTTCAAAGCCTGAATGGCAGGTAAAACAGTAGACAGTAAACACCACTGCTTGATAAGTTGGATATAGAATAATTTTACTGTGCACCAACCATTAATTTTGTGTATGATCATCATTCAATCATAAGAAAGGATAGCAATTGTCGGTTTCGTATGCAATTACAGAATAGCAATCAATTTTAGTTTTTCAAGTTAAACGAGAATTGTTGTCAATCTCAGCTGCAATTTGAGCCATATCTGCAATCACATTGGACCATTTCAAATAATCAGAGGAAGCAGTTTCATTGATAATTTTCATTTCACATTGATGTTAAATCTGAATACTTTGCACAGTCACAGCACTTGGTTAATCTAAAACTACGATGATTACACGTTGTTGTTAAAACGACAAAAACGGAATCGACATAACAGTTAGTAACATCTAATCAAGCAAAACACTAGATTCTTTCCTAACATGTAATGATTGCGGCCTACAAAAAGAATCGCCATTTAGCCTAACGATTAGAGAATCAGAGCTTAGACGATGTCCATAATCAAGATGTAAAACCTGTTAGACCCTTTACTTCTTGGTGGGTGATTCGTAGTCATCGGATACAACGAGTTCATCATCCTTGTCATCATCATCAAGCTATTCGAGTGCCATTTGGTTTCTACTTCCATTAACATCGGACAGTGTTCTTTTCTTCCCGGTAACAGTTTCAATCCCCTCTGAAGGTTCCCGAATTTCAATATCCTTCTCACCCTCCACAATCTCCTCTGATGGCAAAGCACTGGATGTACTTTCACCATTTCCGATAGGCTTATTATTGTCCTTCTCAACAGGAGCTTCCACTGATCCAGAGAGAACCATTCCCTGCTTGACAAAAGGGGTTTAAATTTTTTACAGTATGATAATCAAAGTAAATACAAACCTATGCTTGACATTGATACTGCACGAGAACTACTGTTGAAGATCCTCTAAAGTGAGAACAGTCCCACTAGTAACCGGAGAAGGCAGCTCAGATAATGCCTGTGACAAGAAATAAGCGACAACTATCAGACTGCCTTTTGTGCCAAAGTGTAAAAGAACACCACCTGTGATTTCCAAGACTTCAATCCACAAGTATTTAATCGCACAAAAGTAAAAATAGACTCAAGGATTTGGTTTGAAAGCAAGGGTAAAGAATTTTACTTTCTCAAGGTTTGCAGCATAAACTGCTACCATATCCTCTGCTAGATCTTCACCAACTTCATAAAGAATACTTGCCCCTTGCATAATTACAGGAAAGTTCATGCCAAGTTTGCCTTTAACAATCTTTTCAATGAAGTGAGTATTAACCTCGAGGGATAGTGGTGTCTGTTTTAGAGAGATTAAATATAAGAAAGTAAGAATCGAAACATTAACGAAAGAAATTCCGATCAGAAAACTGTTTTAGATGTACCTCTGAACAAACATAGCAAGACTTGTTTGGTTCATAGGGTTCTACAGGCATTAGAAGCAACTTTCTTGAAGGATGTTCTTGACGATAAGTCATCCTGAATAGGCATCCAAAACCGATTAGAACACGTATAATTATTATAAAAAACAATTTGTAAATATAATTCAAGGAGATTAGAAGTATAATTCCAAACAAATGACTATGGCTGCTACAGATCATATTATTCTAAACTGAAATACATAATTACTTTGTATTTATGAACATCAAAAGAAAACAAATTCAACTACGGAGTACGGACAAACGAAACTGAACTAAACCTGTAATTGTTGTTACCCTTTTTTAAAACCTTGATTGCTTCAATCACAATCAAACCAGCTATGATAGCATTTGTTGTTGCAACAGCATGCACGATACTACCAGCAATTCCTTTAGCTTCAAAAAGACTATGTAAAGGAATCCCAAAAGAAGAAGCACGGATATTTGCAGCAGCAGTAACAAAGTCCACAGCCAATTGATCATCTTTATCAAAAGCAAGGTTCCCTATTTCCTGTCAAAAGATAAAACAAATCAGTCTAACTTGGTAGGAGATGACTAATCTGTTTTTCCAAAAGCAAGAGGTTACCATTGACCTTTCTTCTCTTCGAGAAAACTAATCTCAAAGCAAGAGGTTAACTTGGTAGGAGATAAAAAAAAAAAGTTGTAGTTTACCCAAAAGAAAATGATAAATTACAGGTCATTTGTATTTCTCTTTCTTTATTTCAGTAACTCAACTTTCAAATATTATATTATAATCATTTGTACTCTCAGTTAATTACAAAATAATCACTCATTGGTTGACTCCAATGAAATGGCATGATAAAAAAGGTTAATTTAATTTAACACTATAATTTAATTATCATATGAATTTAATATTCTTAAAATTTCTAATTATGGTTTTAAATAATTTTTTTTTAAATTATATAATGTCAAACTTCACCTTTAATATTTGTTTTAAGGCAAAAAAACATCAAAGGTCCCTATACTTTTGGGGGAAACTAATGTAACCCTCGTATGATTTTTTCTCTCAATGTGGTCCTCCAACCCAAAAAACAAATCTAACGTGATCCTTTGACCAACGTTTTTTTTGTCGTTGACCATTACGGTGATAACGTGGCAGTTCATTGTATTGACGTGCCAGTCCAAAGTGTTGACGTGGAAGTCCACAATGGTTGACAACGTGGCAGATGACATGATAGATAGACTAAATTAGTAATTCAAACATGACAGATGGAGTGCTAGATTCGCACCGTGTACTGTCATGTTAGTATCATGAAGTGTCGCGCTAGTACCATAACGGCCAACGACGAAAAAACGTTGCTCAAAGGGTCACATTAAATTAATTTTCTGAACTATAAGGCCACATTAAGAAAAAAAATAATAATATGAGGACGTTGATTTTTTTCCAAAATTTTTCCTTGTTTTAATAGTCATTTTAATTCTTCTTATTTTTTAATAATTAACCTCAACATGAAACATCTATATTACTTATTTGTTAACATGACATGCCATATAAATAATTTTTATTTAATATCATTTATTTATTTATTTATTTCAGAACTATTATGTTTCTTTACAAATATGCCGACATTCCAATCAATATACAAACAACTGTGTTTTTTGTAATAGTTAGTATTCGGAGATCTAATCTATCCGATACCTTGGCAAGCAAGAAAGTTCAGAGGCATCGAGAATCATTTAAACCCTGGTCATGCACTGTTCATGCTACGAAATCATGTAACATATGAGAGGAACCGAACCTGTGCCGCCGGTTACCGGGATTTATGTATTCGATATCTGTTGTTCTGGCTCCTACGGAATTTGCTGCAGGACGGTATATGTCGTCTCCTCTCACTGCAATGAAATTTTGATGGCCTCTACCTGATATAGGTAAACTACCATCCTCAAAATATTGCAATCCTAAAGTGAGAGAGACGTTACTTCTGGTTCTGAACCACCGCAGTTCCGACATATCGTAAGAAACGGTGACGGATTTCATAAAACGATCACTAGTGCTATTGGAATGAGCAATTGAATCAGGGAAGAGGTTGGAGTCATCCGTGTTAGGCCTCTGGTCCGTCCTCGGCCTTGGTAAGCCGTACTCGGTTTCAGCTTCTCCATGTGTTGCATGTCGTGCGATATCTACATCCGGGATGTGGTCGGATTTGGTATCCACCAAATGTCCAGTGTTACATCTCTCTGTGGCTGATGAACTCCCGCTTTGTTGCAGATCGTCTCCTCTGTCCTCAGAGGTCGTTTTATCGCCTTTTCTTGCTTTGACTGCATTTTCAGATGAGGAAATGGAGTCCATTTCTGAATCTGCAAATTCTTCCTTGTACATCTCTTCCACCATAGGCGTCACGCACTCGCGCATTTATAAACCAATTCGAAACCTGAATCAATGTAAATATGTCATCAAGGTAACAATAACGAAACATACGAAAACGAGCAACCAAAAAAGAAAGACGTAACATACGGAAAAGATGCCACGGTTTAAGGATACGGTGTAAAGAGATGCAAATGAATCCAATCCAAGTTAACAAACGGTATGGTAGTGGGATTAGTTTGTGATTACCTGACTTCTAGTTAAGCATGTTTGTCTTGCTGGCATGATCTTCTCGGAATCCTTCGGGTAGCTGGAGGATGATAAAAATAGTGAATAAGTAAGATTGAGTTACAATGGCATCCGGATCGTTTCAAAAGAAGGGAGTATCAGGATAAAACGTACGGATGAAGAAAATGCTCAAACAGCCAAGTGCGAAGAATCGAAACAGAGTTTTCGGGCAGCCCTCTCTAAGGCCTCCATGCATGTTGTTGCATCATACCGAGCTGCTGAAGAGTGTTCAGTTGCCTCAGATGCTTCTCAACATAACGCAGATGAGATATTCGTTCTCCTTTACCATTTTCCGAAGCATCCTGCTCCCCGAGACTCTTACGTGTTGCCCGGATTCGACCATTAATTGCATCCTTCAAGCGTCTAAAATAATGGGATAGAGTCTGCAGGGCAACTGCAGTGTAATGCTTAGCAGCTCCACACCCGGCTATTGCATCGAATGATGACACTATGATCTGCATCTGATGATAATACTCCTTATACCTACAATCAACCTGCAGCAACAAGTATTAAGCATCAGAATTCAGACACTATCAATCGAACAACAAAAATAACAAACTGATCCGATACTAACGTCGTCCAACATGGACAATAGCTTTGTTAACTTGCTTCGTTGTTCTTTTCTTTCGGGCTCGAAAGCTCATTTTTATTGGAGGGTTCTTGCTGATTCAAAGGTGCATTCTTTTATTCTGCATCATCATCCTTGTAACTCTTAGTCCGGTAATCTTGCGAGCTTCGGTTTTTCTCCCCGTCCTGTTGCTTTAAAGCCTTTGGAACATTAACAGCTTCGTCAAGCAATTCTTGTGCTGCCTTAAGATATTTGGAATTCAGAATCGTCCTCGACATACTCGACATTTCATATGCATATAAGCTCCCTTTATTTGAGCCTTGATTAGCTCCAGCAAAACCATATTGCAGATACTCTGCATTTCTTGATTGTTCGTCTAGAGCAGAGCTGTTCCCGTTGCCACCATCTCCCATAACCGACGGAACAGGACTCAAGAACGAAGCGAAACCCGGATTTCGGTACCGGATACAAGGCATCCGAAATCTAAAGGGAATTTGAGGACCAAGGCTCAGTGATAATCGCTGATCTTGCAAGTTTTGGCCATTGTGAAGGATGTTGGCGCTACCATCCATTGGATGCATAACTAGACATTCATCTCGACCATCCCTCCGACCACCGAAATCATGTTCCACGACTCGTGATCCGTCGAGGCTCGACAAGATTTCTTGCTACTGCGAAGTCGAATCCGAAGCCTCCACAGCCCGAATCTCGTTTCGCTGCCGAGGATCCCCGGAAAATGCACCCGATATGACCCGGAATTCATATACATCATCGCATTACCGGGAAGAACCGATGCCTCTGCATACAAACCAGCCATCGATTATCTCGTATAGATCATCGGAGCAGTGTCTCTTTGACCATCAGAACGGATGTAACAAGCAGACATATTCCAACTCAGATTATATGGTATAACCCCTATGAACTGAAAACTCCATTAGAAACAATTTCAAGCACAATTCGTGTATACATACATACATATATGCATATGGAAGAGAGTAAAAAATTATATATACAAAATCTTCGAAAGATCAAACACTTGGTGATCCCAAAACCCAGAACAACTACTACTACTACTACAACCTAAAACACTTCATTTTTTTCATCAAACTTTTTGCAGACTTTAAAAAATCATAATTAATAACTTCTTTCAGTTTGTACTTTGCTCCTTCAAATCAAATGTAATGAGAATAACAATTCAAACTCAAAAGGGTAGAGAGAGAGAGAGAAGGAGAGAAAAAGAGCAATGAATGAAATTATATCATTTTGTTCAGCTCCTTTTTCACTAATCATGAATGTATTCTCCATCCATCGTCATTTCCATCAAAACCCCACTTAAGATACACAAACTTGAACCCACTATATATATATAGTTTCCTTCTTTCTTTTTTGAAGTTGTTTCTTTGTTTTGGGGTTTTATAGAGGATGTGTTTGGTTAATGAGTTCCCATCTCTCTAACCACCAGTTGGTGGGCTTTCTCCTTATTCTTACTGGGTTTTGTTGCTGGAATTTCTATCTCTGAACTACCAGTTGGTGGACCTAAAGAACCTCCTTCGCCATGGAAGCTGCGGTCTCTCTTGTTTTTATTTGCTGTGCAGTGTCCACCATGTAAGATTACTAACCCATATTCTATATTTTCGATAAAATACACCATATCTCATTAAAACAGGTTAAAAAGGATCTTATTACCTATAAATTTTTTTAAAGTAATAAAATAATCATTAAATATATTAAAGTATTTTAAAATAGGATAAAGTACACAAATGACCCATGATTATAGGATATTACTTTATTAAGTCCCTTAATTATTAAAAGTTATAAAATGGGTCTCCAACCATACGGAGTTGCTTTGTTAAGTCTCTTGGCTATTAAAAATCACAAAATGATGGTCACCCGTGTAACATCCTCAATACCGGGTTAGTGTTTAAAGTGTCAGATTTTAAAATTCAATGACCAGATTAAATAAATTGAAAAGTTCAGGAATTAATTGAAAGATGTTGGTGTAGGATGATTTAACAAATGAAGGATAAGTAAAAGGGTAAAAAGGTCATTGAACAAATAAAAGAATAAAATATTATTTGGGGTTATATTATAACCCATGTGGAAGAGAAATGTGCGAAACAAATGTTTCTAGACATTTCTCTCATCTTCTTCTCCTTCTTCATCGTGAAGCATACAAGCAAATGTGAGTTTCGTAATTAGTTGATTATTTGTTGAATTAAAGGTTGTGTTATGATCCTTAAGTGATACTTAAGCTTAAGGAAAGCTTAAGTTGTCTTATAATCAAAGATGAAGAAGTTATAAAAGATTAAAGAGAATGGGTTTCAAAGTGAAATTTTAAAGAAGAGTGTTTAAATGAATTTGGAGATTGAATTTGACTTGTCATTTATGAGAATAAGAAGTTATAAGTGTTAGAATTAAGTTTGGATAACATGGAAAATTTGGT